GAGCCCAGCAGGTTGAGGCTGCGGTGGCCGGGAGCGGCTACTGCACTCCAGTCTGGGCGACAGAGTGAAACTCCAACTCAAAAAAAAAAAAAAAAAAAATTAAAACCTTACCATAAATTCTGTTTATATGACAGTAAAATTCAGCTAGTTCTAACAGTTGATGTAAAGTGATAAGTTTTCTCAAACTTCTCTGTCAGTCTGGATATATTACATTAAAATACTGTGATTTCACATATCAGATTTGGTGGATTTGAAGTCAGCATTGAGTTCCATAGTCAGGCTTGTTCAGATTATTGTGAGACTGAAAAGTTCCTTTGTTTTTTGAAGCTTCAGTTTCTTCTCCTCTAATGAAGATATTGGACTGGGTGTTCTCTAAAGACCTTCTACCTTCTGTGCTTCTCTAGATTCTATATCTGCCAAGCTATATGACCTCACTCTATTATAGTCAAATCTGTTGAACGAGGCTTCAACAAGGGTTGGTAAATTTTTCTGTAAAGGGACAGATAATAAAATTTTTTTATTTTTGATCTCATTTTGTTGCCCAGGCTGGAATGCAGTGGCACAATCACGGCCACCACAGCTTTAGCCTGCTGGGCTCAGGCGATCCTTCCGCTTCAAGCCTTCCAAGTTCCTGAAACCACAGGTGTGCGCCACCGTGCCCAGGTAATTTTTTGATTTATTGTAGAGATGAGGTCTTGCCAAGTTGACCAGGCTGTTCTCAAACCTGTGGGCTCAGACAATCCTCTTTCCTTGGCCTCCCAACAAATAATAAATTTTTAAGACTTGTGGGCTACCGGGTGTGGTCGCTCACGCCTATTATTCCAGCACTTTGGGAGACAGAGGCATGAATATTACCTGAGCTCAAGGGTTCAAGACCAGCCTGGGCAACATGGCAAGACTTCATCTCCACAAAAAATTAAAAAAAAAATTAATTAGCCGGTCATGGTATCATATGCCTATAGTTCCAACTACTTAAAAGGCTGAGGCGGAAGGACTGTCTGAGCCCAGCAGGTTGAAGCTGTGGTGGCCATGAGTGTGCCACTGCACTTGAGCCTGGGCGACAAAATGAGACTCTGACAAAAAAAAAAAAAAAAAAAAAAAGGCCGCGCTTGGTGGCTCAACCTGTAATCCCAGCACTTTGGGAGGCTGAGGTGAGTGGATTGCCTGAACCTGCAGGTTCGAAAACAGCTTGGTCAACTTAGCAAGACCTCATCTCTACGATAAATAAAAAATTAGCTGGGTGTGGTAGCACACTCCTGTAGTTCTGGCTACCTGGAAGACTGAGGCGGAAGGATTGCCGGAGTCCAGCAGGTCGATTCTGGGTGGCCATGAGTGTGCCACAGCACTCCAGCCTTGACAATGGAGTGAGATCCCAACTAAAAAAATAATAATAATAAATAAATAAAAAGGCCCTTGTGGGCCAATACTGGTGGGCTAGGTCTAGAAAACTTTTTAAGAAAAGGGTTGGCCAGGCTCGGTGGCTCAGCCTGAATTCCCAGCACTATGGGAGGCCAATTCGAGTGGATTGCCTGAGCCCGCGGGTTCAAGACCAACCCAGGCAAATTGGTGAAACCTCGTCTATACAATAAATGAAAAATTAGCTGGACGTGATAGCATACTCCTTTAGATCTGGCTATTCAGAAGACTGAAGTGGAAGAGGTGGAAGGATCACCAAAGCCCAGCAGGTTGACCCTGGGGTAGCCATGAGCATGCCACAGCACTCCAGTCTGGGTGGTGGAGTGAGACTCCAAGTTAAAAAAAAAAATATTTTGCGTCAACAATGATGAAAGAACAGCTTCTCAACTCTTCTGCTAGCATTAAAGCAGTCATAGATAATACATAAATGAATCAGTGTGGTTGTGTGTTTAGTAAAACTCTATTTATGGACATTGAAATTTGAATTTCAGCCAGGCTCGGTGGCTCAGCCTGTAATCCAGCGCGTTTGGGAGGCTGAGGTGA